CCAATGTGTCGGTTACCCACACACGATCCACCGACCTATGATAAAATTTAAGAAACCCTTTGCCTAGTGTGTCGGTTACCCACACACACTCCACTAACGGTTCAAACAAAATGCAAAGTGTAATTTCATGGATTAGCACCTTATTCACATTTTCCTAAAGTAACTAAGATTGAGAATTTATAAAAGGTTTAGTTACTTTATAATATTCATCATACTTTAATGAGAATTATAGTCCTTGTCCTACCTATTCGACTAATGACCCTCCACCGGTCAAGGAAGCGGTGGGTGAGAGTGGACACCCATTAAGTTTCCATTTTATAGGCAACAACCTTATACCCCCCCCCACCCCTTATAGACCGGCTTCGTGAATAAAGGCTACTAATGCTAAGACGACTTGATCTTATACACACACACACACACACACATATATATATATATATATTATTAACTTGTAATATTATAAAGTATAAAGGTTGAATTTTAACTTTTAAAATTCTAGGGATTGGAACTAAAGTTTTTAGGTGACTTTACATGTTCCAAAACTTGAGGGTAAGTTTTGTAACTTTCAAAACTTTTCATCTGTCATAACTAATGAGTTATTGTTTATTAAAAATGAAGACTCTTCATTTTTTGTAACTTATGTGTTCTTTTAATGGATTTCTTAAAGTGTGACTTTTGGTTATCCATAACTTGAGAACTAGTTATGGACTACATTAAAACACATCAATGATCATGAATTAATCTACCAAATAATAGCACATAATTTCTATGATCTTCTAAACTCATATGTTCATGAATGTTCATATCAAGAATTTCAAGAATCATAAACAACACATATAAAACTTGAAATTTTGATAATAGCTATTGTAAATGGATTAGAATAACCATTATACCATCAAAAACAAGTTTTACAAGTCCAAAACAGGTTAGGGTAATGATTCTAATCCATTTCCAGCAGCAAAACTCGAAAATATGGTCACAGGTGCTTCTACTCGTCGAGTGCATGAGCTGACTCGACGAGTAACATGCTTTTGTTCATGGACTCGTCGAGTCCCCCCATGGACTCGGTGAGTTCATACATGTTGTGACAAATGTTTTTTTGATTTTCAAGCATTTTGCATCGAGTATCAAGAAAACAAGCCTAGGCTCTGATACCACTGAAGGGTTTTGAGCATTATAACACTCTTATGGTGTACATGCAACCGTAGAAACCTTGGATCTATGTTTTACTATGATACGTGCAAATTTGTTTTCTAATGTTCTTTTCTTAAATAGCATTGCATGGGGAACATTAAAAGATAAAGCTAGTGGGAGAACATACCTTTTCTTGTTGCTTGGATTCCTTGAGAACTTTGTGAGCCTAGCACCTCAAGTGTGATGCCTCAAATGTGTCACACAACACTAATAACTTTGGAATAACTATTTGAGAGAAATAATACACTTGCAAAATCGGCAAGCCCTCTAATCTCTTCTTAGTCCATGATTTGATAGCCAATGGGGTCCTTTTATTGTGTTTTCAAGTGTAGGTTACATAATGTAAACCCTAATTGACATGGCTTTTCATATTCCATGATCCATGGGTTTATAACCTCCATGGACTATCCATGGAGCACCTTATTGGGTTTAGCCCAGTCTAATAAATCATGGATCATTAGCCCACTATTAAGAATTGATGATTTACATAATCAACCCCATATATTTAATTAGTCTCCTTTTGGTCACATAATTAATTCTAAATTAATTCTTGATCAATACTAATTAAATATTATTATTAATATATTAGAACTTATTATATATTAATAACCTTAAGTGTTCTTTCTCTCATTTCGTCTATCCAAATGTTATGACGCCATGCAACCCAAATGGACGATGCCGGGTCGGGTCAAGTACATACCAAATATAGTTATGGACTTAGACCTCTAATCCAACACATATAACCTGTATACTTGCTATCTATGCTGGATGAACGATTTTATACATGTTTTAAATGATTTAAACTATATATGTATTTTATATCTACAACATATATTGGGTATAACATGGTTAGATGAAGCATGAGAGATAAAAGATGATATAAGTGAACATTGGTAGTTATGGACTTAGTGCGTATTGAATAAACATTGGTAGCCATGGACTTAGTACTGATGGATAAACGTTAGTAGCTATGGACTTAGTACCTGATGGATAAACGTTGGTAGCTATGGACTTAGTACCTATTATATAAACACTGGTAGCGATGGATTTAGTACTCAAGAATGAACTTTAGCAGCTACGGATTTAGTACTTTACAAATGAGCATTGGCAGCTATGGTCTTAGTGCCTGTCTTATAAAGCCTGCAAGCAAGGGACTTCAGAATGAACGAATGCAGGATAGATGACTCTTAGGGTAGACCCTTAAGAATGGTTGATTGTTTCTTGTTTAAACATAATAATTATATTATTGTGGGTTGAAAACCCTATGTACTCACGAGGTTTCCCAACCTGACCCACTGAAGCTTATTTGTATCACAGGTGTCGATACGAAGCTACTTTACACTAACAGATTTAAAAGAGATGTAGATCACTAGTGTAAATAAATATAAGTTCTGGTTATGCTTATATTTCTGTCTGGATGATGACATCCCAATGTTTTGAAAATGAATAAAAATACATTTCTTCAGAAATGCTTTGATAACCTATTTATCATATTTGCTGGAAACAAATTCTACAACATTTTTATTAAAAGAGGTATTCTTATTTTATAAAGCATAAACAAATTTGGTCTTTTCTAGCCGTGAAAATGGGGATGTCACATAGATAGCCTTCTATTAAGAGATTAATGGGAATTCATTAGATCATGCTGGAAGTTGACTTAAAAAAATCTACGTGAAGCCCAGGTGCAAACAATCAAAGACTTGAGGCACAAAAAAAAGGATAGTCCCACAAGTAATTATTGTCCCAACATCATATTTAAGCACATTGTTAATTGGTCAAGATCCAAAACTAAATAGGTAAAATACAAAATAAATTGGCTAACCTATTGTAATGAGTAAGTGGAAGAAATTATCCACTTATAATTAGTTGTTGTGATGAAAATTAAGCGAAAGTGAAAAACTTCACATCGACCATTTGAACCATGAAGTAGAGGTGAAGACTGGAGTTCGTATTGCAAAGATCTGCAGGAGACAAATCACGAAGGTGAAAGAAACATGGAAAACACATGTCTAAAACCATATTGTAGTTTGGATACTTAGGGTATCTAAATTAATTTTAGAAAAAAAAAAATTATAAATATATAGAAATATGTATGAATGCAAAAAACATGTAGATAATCTAAATATTGAAAATTTTCAAAACTCGTTATCTGATTCTGTATTCGAAAAACCGAATATCCAAATTTCAATTACACTTAGTTCAAATGCTTTGAACACCTCAAGTTACAGGTAATTGTAGAAAAATTGTATTTGGAAAATTATGGGGTTTTACAAAATATAATAAAATAGTGAATTTTGGTTGTGTTTTGGTGTATGAATTGTGTTTACTGGAAAATGTTTACAAATTCCGAATTGGGTCATGTATCTTGTATGTGACTTTAGAAAGGGCAAAATGGTCAAATTTCAGCAACAACCACAGAGCAGTTACAGTATCATGTATCTTGTATCTTGTATGTGCCTTTTCAGAGAACTAAATGGTCAAATTCAAAGCAACAACAAAAGGAAAACAGGTAATTCAAAGGGCAAAATGTCAATATGTAGTAGACAAAATGGACAAAAGTCAAAATCTCAGTTAATACCTTAGTTGTCAATAGTCCCCAAAGGCCAAAACACTCACCATCAAACCATCATCCGATACTCCTCTAGAAATGTTATACCAACATAAATACTCTAAACCCCCAAACTATGGTGTATGTGGACCTGCACAACAAAACAAAACATAGTTAATAGCATGAAGTAGATACTTCTGGCAGCTGAAGGTGATACTCCTTCTCCAATTTCAACCTAGATGTGAAATAGAAAACTTTAAGTAGGAATAAAAAAACATGAGTATTACATTTAAACACATCTGTGTAGGAAAATTTTCCCTTATTTTTTCTTCTACAACATTGCCTCATAAAATGATTTCAAAACTAGATACACATAGCTTTATATGTTCCAAATCCTCATATTTATTATCCATATCTTGATAAGCTTCATCTTTACTTCCCATATTAAATAATTTTAACCTTTTGGAAGTAAAAGTAATGATTTTTATAAACATGTATGCCAATGTATCATCAAAAAAGTAAAACTAAGCCCTAATCAAAATATGCACCTGTATTATTAATTTTATAAACTGACAAAGAATAAATAGAGGGAAAACAGAGATAATTGTAGTGTAAACCTGAGAAATGGTGTTGTAGTAATGATGGTGGGATCTACAGGTGGTGTATGTTGACGATGGTGGCTGATGGAGGAGATGATGGTGTTGAAGATAATGACTATTAGGGATCTTCATGAAACCTCCAATCAAACCAAGATAAAATCATTTTTATGCAACCCCGTCCCTATTATATATCCTAACCAGGGCAGGGTGGGGGTAGGGATTAACAAGTAAGAAGTAACAACCTAGCTAAAAGTGCATTTGCATGGATTAATATTATCACAAAAGGACAAACAAACGTATGTGAAATACATTTTCATTTGCATGGATTAATATCATCACAAAGGTATTTTCAAACAAACTTATAAAAAATACATTTGAATTTGCATGGATTAATATCATCACAAAGCCACAAAGTTATGTTCAAACAAACTTATGAAACGTGGTCGAGGTCATGTATAGTGTATACAGATAACTTCTATAAAACGAGTGCAGGAAATTGAAATGGAGCCCAAGAACTTTTATAACTTGATGTGTACATTGATATGCATGCCTCTATGTGTAACATCCTTATTTTATAATTTGTATGGATGCATACGTAATGACAAACTAACACATGTCTCTCATATTAAACCTTTTCTAATATTGTTAACGTTCCGTTGATGTTGTCTTTGATTGATTTAGACATTCTATCTTCTATGATCAGAGATATCCAAGGCAGTGGTCTAGAAGGACCAATACCTGTAACCGTCTCCCTCTTGAAAAATTTGACACAACTGTAAGCTAGATACTTCCCTTTAAGGAGAATTCCTTTAGGTTGTGTCCATATAATATGTAATAATGTAAGGTTTTTTTTTTTAATAATCTGCATGCAAAAGCATCAGTGATTTGAATGGAAATAGTTCGAAGTACTTTCCAGACCTAAGAAACATGACAGGCGTGGAGCAACTGTAAGTCAATATACAAATTAGAAATCTACTAAAAAGTTGATAAATTTCAAGATTGGATATTTATATCTTCAAAGACTTAGGGAAAATTGCAGGATATTCGGAAGTTGTAGACTAACTGGCATAATTCCATATTTTTTATCAGAAATGTTAAAACTGAGGCATTTGTAATAATTCTCCCTCTTCCGTTTCTTGATTGATTGAAAGCCTTTTTTAGACTATATCCATTAACATCATCTTGAGCATTTCATTGTGATTATCTTTAGTGGTTGTTTAAACATCTTGATATACTCTTCATCTATATTCACACAGAGACCTCAGTTTCAACAATTTGGAGGGAGATATACCAGATTTGAAAGAACTAGATATGGAGAAAATGTAAGTACAATGAGCATTTTACCTTTTTCTGGCCATGTATCATTCGCTTCAACTAAGTTTCTTACTTAAATATTTGTCTTGATAACTTGATCCTCAATATTCATACCAATATATAATATATATTTCATCCGTAAGAATACGGTTCAACAAAATATGGATAAGTTTATATTGTTCCTTGCATATTTAATGAAATAAATACTCGAGTGATTATTGAAAAGGAAAGTAAAATAAAAGAGAGCATTATAAATCCCAATAATTATTTTCTATAATTATTTTGTGAAATGATTAGGTACTTGACTAGCAACTCCCTCAACGGAAGTATTCCTACATAGATCAATAGTGGTGATACTGCACAGTACGTTTTCAGTTTTCCTTTTCTCATTTCAGAAATAGTTTTCATGTGACATAATTTGATGTGTTAGATGCATGGTTGTAGTCTTGGTAATATACGTACAATCTATAATTTTTACTTGAAAATGTTCTTATTAATATGTAATTTTACTCACAATAGTTATATAATTCATGAACGCTGATATGTGATTGTGATTATGATTCAGCGAGATTGATCTTTCCTACAATAAATTCAAAGAAGAAAGTGTGCCCCTATATTGTCGTGAAAATTTGTAATTTTTAATCTTCCAAATCATCTTTTGATTCTTATCCCGGCCATATAATATTCTAAAGAAAAGGCTTATGTCATCTTTGATTTATTAGGTACTTATTCAGAAGTTACGCTGCTGCAAGCAACTCGTAAGTTTATTATACCCATATATGGGTTATTTAGAAAGAATTTTCTTTTCTAAATTTCCTGGCATAAGAACCAAGTTTAATATTCCGATCTGTGATTGAATGCAGAGAGCTTGGGAAGTGCCTTAGCTGGTTTCCTGTCGAAAGGGTGAGGAAGATACTTTCCTAAGATGTTTCATTCCAATTAATTAATTAATTTTAAAATGAAAACCAAAAGTTTAGTGATTTTTATGGTTTTTGTTTTCTAGAACACTAATCAATTCACATTAATTGCATGGGATCCAAAAGTGACCATTGGAAACTTGATATATGAAGTTGATCAGGATTCAGGTGGAGCAGCTAAGTTTGTTCCCACAAGAGACTTTTGGGGGACAAGTAGCACCGGAAATGCGTTGGGCAATAATCATAGATTATCTAACTATGTAGCCACCAATGTATCAGCACCGACTATTGATGATAGTAAATTGTACACTACAGCTCGCCTCTTTCCACTATCCATCACTTACTATGTTCGATGTTTACCAAATGGGAACTATACGGTGACTCTGCATTTCGCAGAGATAGTTTTCAGAGATAATGTCTTTTCAGAGTCTTGGAATACGTTCGTTTTATGTATATATTCTTGCAATTAAATTTCTGCATTTCAAACAACAAGACTACTTTTTATTCAAGAAATATATCCATGTAAAGTGCTCCATTTCAACTATAAAGTACAACATATATGCAATTCGCATAATTAAGCAGAATATTTTTGCAGGGTGTGTATATATTCAAATATTTTGACATTAGGAAGGAAGCTGAAAGGGTGGATAGGAAACTAAAAAAAGAAATAAAAAATGTTGTTGTAATCAACACAATTTTCATAACCTCCCCAAAATCTTTTCTTGGCTTTGATACCATATTACCAATTTTTATGATCCTTATGATTAATTTTTATGATCCTTAATGATTTTTATTCATCGTTAGTATAACTACAAAAATGACTAGTTTTGTTTTTAGATAACGTATCTGTTTGTAACGAATTTTAATACTTGCTCTTATGAATCGTCTAACATCATGAATATGATTATTGTTTAAAATTGTGCCTTGATTATTAAGTTTATAAGAATCTTTAAGATTTTGCTCAGAGTTATTAATAGATTCTTGGATTTGCTGTATTTTTAAAAGAATATTTCTATTAGGAATACAATTCATCAAAATTTTGCTAGACATAATTAAATGATCTAACCATGAATTTGATTAATTTGATTATTAAAAACGAGTACTATTTTAACAAAAATTTCAAATCTTGTAGAATTAATAGTTAGAATAACTCGCAATGAAATTATCATAAAAATAACACAACAATAGAATATTTTAGATAATACCTTCTTGAATTAGGCTTGAATTACAATCAGTACATACTTCTGGAGAAAGAATTATTTGAAAATCTAAAGACTTTGAACATCTACTAGTAGAAAGAGAGACTCTTGGAGATTTTTTAGACATTGGATGAACATTTTTTAGAGAATGAATTTTTTCTCTTGTGATAACCTCTATTTATAATCATCTTGGAGTCTTCAAAGTCTTGAAATCATCTTGTGATAAATTTTTCCGTAAGAATCCATGGCCAATCAATAATTATTTGCAAGTGGTTGTCCTTGAAAGTGGTTGTCATTCATCTTCTTTTGATAAAGCAAGCCATTATAGAGCATCTTCTAAAGTTTTTTGTCTTCATATCATCATTGATTATAGATTTGATAATAATTTTGATAAAAATTGTTTATACATAAATACATGAATACCTACATAGTATACATGTATTCGTACTTGAAAAACGAAATTTTGATAATAGAAAAAACGAAATATCTTACATTTAAAATATTACATCAAATTTATGGATAATGATTTCTTATTCTTCATAAGGATCATCAAAAGGGTCTTGAGCGTCTTCGAATAAATCATTCTTTATAGATTTTGGAGAATCGTCAGAAACTGATGGAGTTTGGCGAATTTCTTGAAGTAATTTTTGAAGTTCTTGAGGAGAAGAGGTAGCAGCATCTTTAATTCTTGCAATTAGATCCACATCGCTTTTGGGAAGACTGTTGATAAAAGTGGCTTCGACTTCTGGTTTTTGAATATATATTTCTTGATAATGTTTAATTACTGCTTGTTCACTAGCTTGAGAAATCTTCATTTTATCCCACCATTTTGAGCGAAATTGGCGATTAAGCCAGGGAGGAGAGGTGTCTTTTGCTTCTTGATAATGAAAAGTCCAAGACATTATCCATGGAACTTTAAATATCATAGTGAATTGTAACATGTATTCAAATTCTGGAATTTGTTGAATAAACAATTCTTTAAATTTGAGATATCCATCGTAAATTTCTTTTGGTAAACAATTTGGAAGAATACCCATATATTTGTACCAATTGATAAACCATCTTGGATATTCACAATTGAAGTTCAAATCAAAGAAGATAAACCATGAATGTGAATAATTCCGAATAAAGAATGCCTTAGTCCAGGCGTCTTGATAATCATAGTAAGAAAATTTGGGATAAGCAGGATAACTTATAAGAGGTTTTTCAGAGTGAAGGTTTGGAACCCAACTTTCTGGAGAAATGATTTTGATAATATGAGCTTTGCTAAAATCAATGTTTCCCTCTTTAGAATTAGAACGATGAACAAAATTGACTGAACCAGATTCTTGCAGAATAGCTTGATAATATTCTCGGGTTTTATATGAATCAACATAAAAGGTTTTTCCTTGTCCAAAGAGATGATTGGTGAGAATATGAAAACCTTGGTGTAACTTATGGATTTGAAAATCTTCAAGAATTTGAACTCTTAGGAAATTTGGATTAAGAACATAAGGAGTTTTTGTAGAAGGGCTAGGAGTAACAGATTTTTGAGTTTGAGGAGAGATAGGTTTTGCAAAAGGGCTTATTGTGTCAGTTGAAGCAACTTTTGGAGTAACAAGTTTTGACTGAAGGATATTAGAATAAAGTTGTGAATTCTTAGAAGTAGGTGTTAAAGGAGAAAAACGATTTTGATTTTGAAATGGAACTAGCTTTTGAGAGGCTGGAACAAGATTTTGATAGACTGGCTTCTTGTCATCATGTTTGGAAGAGGACGATGAACTCATTTTCCCTGCAAAAATTCTCGAGAAAGAAAGTCAGGAAGTGAGTTATTTTCTCCTTTTATAAATTCTATTTCGAAATCAAAGTTACCTAAGAGGGCTTGCCAACGAGCAAAAATTTGCTTGGAAATAATATTTTTTACATCTTTTTCCAAAATACTTTTTGCAGATTGACAATCTATTCTTAATAAAAAAGTTTTCATAAATAAATCATCTTCAAATTTCTTAATACATAAAACAATGCTTAAAATTTCCTTTTTGACAGTTGAATAATTTTTCTGTGTATTATTCCATGCACCAGAGTAATATCGAACTAATTGCTCTTCAGTTGAGTTAACAAATTTTTGTTTTAAAATTCCTCCGAATCCAATATCACTAGCATCGGTTTCAACTATGATTTTGGCATCGGGATGAGGTAAATTTAAACATGGCAAAGTAGGGACCTTTTGTTTTATATATTTAATTATATCTGTATGTTTTTGAGTCCATGGTTCAGGATTGTCTTTTAATCGATTATAAAGTGGTTTACATATGATCCCTAAATCTTTGAAAAAATCATGGATGTAATTTAAGCATCCTAAAAATCTTTGAAGTTGTTTTTTATCTTTAATTTCATCAGGAAATTTAGTAGAAAATTGCAAGCTTCTTGTTATAGGTCTAATAGTGTTTTTGACAATATCATGTCCTAGAAAACGAATTTCATTTTTAAATAAATGCATTTTTGTTGCAGAGACAGCTAAACCATTTTGATAAATTAAATCATGAAATTGATTTAAATGTTTAAAATGTTGATCAATTGATTTTGAAAAAATTAGGACATCGTCGATATAAGCAATAGCAAAACTACTTATAGGAGTTATGATATCATTCATAATATTTTGGAATTCAGAAGGAGCATTTTTTAATCCAAAAGGCATTACATTCCATTCAAAATGCCCAAAGGGAACATTAAAACCAGTTTTGTATTTATCTTCCTCATGAATTTGTATTTGCCAAAATCCTGATTTCATATCAAACTTTGAAAATATTTTTGAATCATAAAGCTTTTTTAGCAAATTTCGTTTATTAGGAATAGGATAACGAATCCATTCTAAAACTTTGTTTAAAGGTTTATAATTGATAACTAATCTTGGTGATCCTCTTTCTAATTCTGCAGCATTCATAACATAAAATGCTGAACAATACCATGGTGACTTAGAAGGTCTTATGAGTTTTTTATTTATTAAATCTTGAATTTCATTTTTACAATGACTTTCTAATTCATTATTCATGTGAATGGCTCTAGATTTTGAAGGAATATCCTTTTCATTAAAATTTTTTATATATGGTAGTTTTACAATATGTTGCTTTCTATTCCAAAAGGCATTAGGAATATTAGAACAAACATTTTTTTCAAATTTTAATTTTAATCCGGTTATTTTATTTTGAATATTATTATCACTTAATTGATTAGTTATTCGAACATTATTTATTTCGTTAATAAGATATTTGGCTTGTTGCGTTTTATAATTAAGGACATTAATTGTTGAATATAGAGGAGGTTCACAAAATTTAAATATAATTTCTTTTCCAAAAACGTTGGTTCTTATACCATCATCATGAACCATAAAAGGATATAGTTTTGTAATGAAAGGTGTTCCTAGAATTAAAGGAGAAGATAGATCTTTTACTAAAATTAGGTGAGTTTTATAACAGTAATCTTGGTCATTACAAATATGAACATCAGAAACTTTATAATTTACAATTAATTTTGTACCTCCGGCACCAGTAAGTCTAGATGTAGTTTTTTCATAAAATTGTGTAGGAAAAATTCCTTCTTGAATACAATTCATATCAGCACCACTATCAATTAAAGCAGTTAGGTTAATTTTAAAATTATCCTTAACTAAAGTAATTTTAGTGTTCCATTTTTGAGAAACTTGATTATTTATAAGTTTACTAATAGTTACATTTTCAATTTTATTTTCTTCTTCATTATTAATTTCTATATTTTTGTTTTTAAAAGTAGAAGGTTTTTCTTTTTCTAAAATTAAAATTTTATTTTTTATTTCTTTTATTTCTCGTTTTACTATTTTTAATTCTTCTTGAAGTTCTTGCATAGAAATTGGCTTTGCTTCAGTAAATCTTTCGTATATACTTTTTAAATTAAAATTTTCATTATTAGCAGGAGTTATGTTATTAGTTTTATTAAGCATCTGTTTTATTAGCAATTCTTGGATATTTTTATCTTTTTAAGAATCAAGAGAGTTTAAAAGATCTTATCATCTTGTGAAAGAACATTAATGGAGCCACTAGTGATTACATTGATTAAATTGTTACAGTGACATTTACCAATACATT